GTATGAGTCCAAGTGAACATGAGGAGCTTCGACGACAAGTTGAAGAATTGGTGTCTAAGGGTTTTTTGCGTGAAAGTCTTAGTCCTTGTGCAGTTCCGGCTTTACTTATTCCAAAGAAAGACGGTTCATGGCGCATGTGTGTTGACAGTCGTGCTATAAACAAGATTACAGTCCGCTATCGCTTTCCAATCCCACGTCTAGACGATTTACTTGATCAGATTGGAACGGCCAGTGTGTTTTCCAAATTGGATTTGAAAAGTGGTTATCACCAAATAAGAATCCGCCCTGGAGATGAGTGGAAGACGGCGTTTAAAACTCGTGAGGGTCTTTTTGAATGGTTAGTAATGCCTTTCGGCTTATCAAATGCACCTAGCACTTTTATGCGTGTTATGAATGAAGCCCTACGACCTTTTATCGGCAAATTTGTGGTTGTTTACTTTGACGACATCTTGATCTTTAGTGTGTCTCTTAAGGATCACCTACAGCATTTGCGTGAGGTCCTTGTTGTCCTGCGTCGTGACAAGTTCTATGCTACAATTAAGAAATGTGAATTCGGTTCACCGGAAGTCCAATTTCTTGGTTATATAGTCTCGGCCGAGGGTTTAGCTGTGGATCCGGGAAAAGTTTCCGCCATTAAGTCTTGGCCTGAACCAAAAACGCTCACTGACACTCGTAGCTTTCATGGCCTAGCTTCTTTTTACCGTCGATTTGTGCCACAATTCAGTAGTCTAATGGCACCTATCACTGATTGTATCAAAGAAGGCTCTTTCGTATGGACTCTGACTGCTTCTGCGGCATTTGAGGTGATTAAAAAGAAGTTGAGTGAGGCTCCAATTTTGGCTCTCCCGGATTTCTCTTTGGTTTTTGAGTTACATTGTGATGCATCGAAGACAGGCATTGGTGCTGTTTTAAGTCAGCGACAACGCCCCATTGCTTTTTTTAGTGAAAAATTGTCTGGCTCTCGTTCACGTTATAGCACTTACGACTTGGAATTTTATGCTATTGTTCAAGCAATTAAGCATTGGCGACATTATTTATTTCACAAGGAGTTTGTTCTTTATACAGATCATGATGCACTTAAACATTTAAGTACGCAAGATAAGGTGTCGGCTAGACATGCTTCGTGGATTGGATATTTGCAACAATTTACTTTTGTCATCAAGCACACATCTGGAGCTAGTAACCGTGTTGCGGATGCTTTGAGTAGACGCCACGCACTCCTTGCTGTGTTAAACGTCTCTGTTCCAGGCCTTAGTACTTTCAGCGATCTATATCCAACAGACCCTTTCTTTAGTCGCATTCTTCAAGAAGTCCAGGCTGGTTCATCACGGGATTATACGCTTCATGATGGCTTCCTCTTCAAAGATTCCCGTTTATGTATACCTGATTGTAGTCTACGCTTGCAGCTCATCTCGGAACTGCATAATGAAGGTCATGTGGGTCGAGATCGGACGTTACAACTAGTGACGTCTTCTTATTTTTGGCCTTCTCTTAGACGTGATGTTGAGAGGTTTGTAGAGAGATGTGTTACGTGCCAAAAATCTAAAGGTCATGCATCAAATGCCGGCTTATACATGCCACTTCCTGTTCCTACACAACCTTGGACGGACATAAGTATGGATTTTGTCTTGGGTCTTCCTCGTACTCAACGGGGATTTGATTCCATATTTGTGGTGGTTGACCGGTTTTCCAAAATGGCTCATTTTATACCGTGTAAGAAGACTACTGACGCAGTCCAAGTGGCCATACTTTTCTTTCGAGAAGTGTATCGTTTACATGGTTTACCGTGTTCCATTGTATCGGATCGAGATTCTCGCTTTCTTGGTCATTTTTGGCGCTCTCTTTGGAAGTTACTTGATACTAGTTTGGATATGAGTTCTGCTTATCACCCTCAATCGGATGGCCAAACAGAAGTGGTTAATCGATCGTTGGGAAATCTTTTGCGGTGTTTGGTTGGTGAAGCTATTAGGTCGTGGGATTCAAAACTACCTCAAGCAGAGTTTGCTCATAATCATGCCATCAATAGAAGTTCTGGTTTTTGCCCTTTCCATGTTGTATATGGCTTGACACCACGCGGACCAGTGGATCTTTCTTCATTACCTGATCGTACTCGATTTCATGGTGTTGCTGAAGATTTTGTGGCTGAATTAGCGCAAGTACATGCTAACACAAAAGCTCACTTAGACTCTGCTACGGCGAAGTATAAAGCTTCTGCCGACACGCATCGTCGACGTCTTGTTTTTAATGCAGGTGATCTAGTATGGGCAGTACTCACTAAAGATCGAATGCCAGCAAGAGCCTACAATAAGTTAAAAGCTAAGAAGATTGGACCTCTTGAAGTTTTGGAACGTATTAACGACAACGCATATCGCCTTCGCCTACCTTCTGACATCAACACTTCTGATGTGTTTAATGTTCGATACTTGTCTCCATTTGTTCCTCCTGAAGTCCTGCCAGATTCGGGGTCGAATCCTTCTCACCATGGGAGTCCTGATGCAGCAGCATCGTGATAGCTTTGGCGACAAACCAAACGTAGCCGTTTGGTTACATTTCTTTATCCTATTTTCCTTTAAGTGTTTTGGCTATTTTCCTTTTTCTTGTTACTTAAGAAAGACTTCTTAGGGTGTTTAAGTCTTTTTAATTACTTCTCCTACGTCGGTTGTGACCTAGGTTTAGAAGCTATATAAGCATTCTTTTGGTTAAGGTTTTCAGCAGCTTTTGATAAACTAATAAAAGAGAGTTTTCTCATTCCTTGTGTTGATTTGATTCAATTCATCAAAACAAGAAGTCGGTCTCAAGTGATTGCTTCTAATCTCTTGATTGAGCGAAGTAGGTCTCAAGAGAAATCCCTATTCTCTTGATTGAGCTACCTATCTAAGTCCTTACGCTGCGCCACATTCCTAAATTGGAACTTCTATTATTTGAAATATTAAGGGTAGTTCTATTGTTTTCAACTGTAGCTGAACTTCGAATTGCGAATGGTTGGTCTCTCCCTAGCGCTAGAACAGAGCGATAAGTTCTTCTCCACTCTTTCATATCTACCATTACCATGTCATCAACAAATGATACTCCGATTTGGGCAATCGATGGTCTTCCTTACAAGTCTTTCTCTTCAAAAGCTGTGTGGAATGCTATTCGGATTTCAAATCCAAAACGTTTTTGGGCTCCTCTTTTGTGGCATAAGGCTGCCATTCCAAGACATGCTATCTCCTCATGGCTGTTTATGCTCAATCGTAATCCTACTCTTGATCGTTTGTCATCTTGGGGGTTTGATGTTGAGTTGGATTGTCTCCTTTGTGGTATGGCCCAGGAATCACGGAACCATCTGTTTTTTTACTGTGTTTTCTCTGCTGAAGTTTGGAGATTGATTACTCAAAGGCTTGGGTTCTCGTCTCCTCCAATTTTATGGGATCATGTCCTTTTTTGGCTATCAACAATTTCAGGATCCAAGTACAAGAAACTTGCTCTCCTTCAAGGTTGGCAGGGAGCAATCTATGAACTATGGCGGGAACGAAATCGGTGTTTCCATGATGGTCTCTCTCTTTCTCCGGTTATAGTAGCAAAGCACATTATTTCCACTTTGGAAAACAAGTGTAATGCATTGAATCAGCTGGGCTTTAAGCATGGGATCTCAATTCTTCAATGCTGGATCATCTAAGGTTTTGGAAAAAGACAGAAATTAGGATCTGTTTTTCTCTTTTTTATTCAGGTTTCTTTGTTCTGAATCCTTCTTTCTCTTAGCACTTGTTGCTAGTTCTGATCGTAATTTCTTGCTTCCTTGTATACTTTTCTTTTTGTTATTAATGAAAGCCTTTAACAAAAAAAAAAAGGGTAGTTCTATTGGCTCCCCATAAAATAAAATAAAAAATAGAAAAAGGATGAAAGAACGGAGAAAAAAAACTATAAATATTATATTTACAGGTGTCTTTCTTTTATTAGTTCAAGCTAATATATAATTTAGTAAGTAAATAAATTATATAAAAAATAGTATTACTATATTACTTAGATATCCAAATGGGTAAATAAAAACTTATAGAAAAACCCTCGACTGGCTGACCAGATTCGATGCATATATCAGCAAATACCAAAGTTAACAATAGGGAAACTCTATCGGAATGCAATTGGTTTCTCACACCTCAATAAATTTAGGGGACTTTTTTGCACAAAAAAATATGTGAATTTTGTGGTGATTAAGATCCATCGACAAGAAGTGTCCTACGCGCCCCTCTCTATTAAATCACTCATATTGACTCCAAATTTATGGTCAACGCCTACAACTAATATATAATCTACAGATACAAATGATCTAATTTATTGTTTTGTTGTCTTTCTCTTTTGTTGAGAGATAAAACAAGGAAATTTTTATACTAATATACTTCGTGTTTCCGTTTCATAATATCAGTCGTTTTAGATAAAAACAGGCCAATTAAGAAGATCTACTTTTAAAAAGTTTAACCAATCATAAAAGAGACTTCATAATATAAATAATCATAAAATATTAAAATAATATATAATTTGCATCGAAACTCGAAAACGACTTATAATATTGTGAAATAAAAAACTTTTTCCAAAACGCCTTATATTATGAAACGGAGGGAGTATCGTATATTTTTCAAATGTATATTTTTTATTTAATAAGAATATGATCAACCGTGAGGAGAATGAGAAAACCCTCACTGAATAAAGCATTAGTACTAATAAGTACCCTCAATCTCTCTATTTGCTTCCATTTCTAAAGGAAAACATTAAAAAAAAAAACTTCACTACCACACATCAACTTTCAAAATGACTCTGAATATGATAACTTAGTGAAGTCTTTGTATTCGGACTTAGAGAAAAGTATGGTCAAGTCGGCTACATATAATGCCTCCAAATCCATGAAATGAAAAATCAACGTTAGTTAAAAATCGTACTGTTTGAAATTTCTCACATAGGTTCCAAATTACCGAAATAAACCCTTATCCCTATAAAAATCATAAGGAACATTAACAAAAGATCACACACACAAACAAAAGTAGTAGAAGAACCAACAAAAATGGCAAACATCTCACACTCGACGTTCATGTTCTCCATCATTTTCCTCATCTCGACAGCGACGGCTGCCACATTCGAAATCCTGAACCAATGTAGTTACACCGTGTGGGCTGCCGCAAGCCCCGGAGGTGGCCGACGTTTAGATGCCGGCCAGTCATGGAGGCTAGATGTCGCTGCCGGCACTAAAATGGCACGGATTTGGGGTCGGACCAACTGTAACTTTGACTCCTCGGGCCGTGGCCGATGCCAAACTGGTGACTGCAGTGGTGGACTTCAATGTACTGGTTGGGGACAGCCACCAAACACGTTGGCTGAATACGCTTTGAACCAATTCAACAACTTAGACTTCTACGACATCTCCCTTGTCGATGGATTTAACATTCCTATGGAGTTTAGGTAAGAATATCACCATAATCTTTTCATAAAGTCTACTAAGTTTTTTTTTCTTTATTTCATAAATTCGGACCCCTAAACGTAAAAATCTCGATATTGACATTTAACATAATAAACAGGCGTTAAAACCATTGTTTCTGCTAGGCAAAAAAAAAGAAAAAAAAAGTAAACCATTATAGTTCATTATTTCTAAACACATTTTACGTTTTTAGACGCGACAATAATTTGCCTTTTTATTTATTGGTCTGCTATTTCCAGCCCAACTAGCTCGAACTGCCATCGGATATTATGTACCGCAGACATAAATGGACAGTGTCCGAATGAGTTGAAAGCCCCGGGTGGTTGCAACAACCCGTGCACGGTTTTTAAGACGAATGAGTATTGTTGTACGAACGGGCAAGGTTCATGTACCAGCACTGGTTTCTCAAGATTCTTCAAACAGAGATGTCCTGACGCCTACAGCTATCCACAAGACGACCCGCCAGCACTTTCACTTGCACCAACACTAACTACAGGGTCGTGTTTTGTCCTAGAGCTAGGGTCGCTGCTACTGGATCCCACCAGCTCCCGATCAAGATGGTCACAGAAGAGAATTAATAGACTGGTATCTACTGTATGTATCTGTGAATGTGTGTTTAAGTTGGACATATTTCTCGCTTTCCGGTCAATCAATCTAAAAATAACAGTTTCGGTTGAACTTGGTTTGATGGGGATCTTTATTTTACAAAAAATTATATTTGTATTTCCGTTTTGCTATAGGATTTTAAAATTTCTCTAAAACTAAATGCGTTTTAATAAATATTCAAGAAATAGGTTGGTTAACGCATACAAGCAAACAAAAAAAAAACATTTTTTAGGTATCATCATATCTTGTTATATACCAGAACAGTAAAACATAGCAAAATAATAGTGAAAGTCGAATGCTAGTAGGATACAATGAAAATCATTTTTTTTATTTTTACTATATGGTTGAAATAAATATGATATATATTATTTAGAAAATTAAAACATTCTTTCTGCCAAGAACATTTTTACATAACAGAATATAACTTTGTCACTTTTTGTGATTGATAAGTCTTTGAAAATCAAGTTAAGAAAAAAGAAAATTTAGGATTACTATAAAGAAAACTTTGTGTTCTAGTATTTGCTAATAGACTATGAAAAAACATGTATATGTTATAGAGTATTAGATCTTATGATTTAAAATCCATTACAGCAACATGTAATTTTCTTCTTTTAATCAAAGTCATGCGATATAAATTTTGGAGTTTCATCTATTAGAGGATATCCAACTACAAGTGTATGAACGAGAAACGTAACAGATTCCTGTTATACCATTCTTATTGGTCATACTTTTATGGATGTTTTAAAAATAAATTAATATTAAATTTAAAGACACTCCTATTTTAGGGATACAAAGTGTTTTCCTAGAGACATTCATTTTACCTATTCACACATTTAAAGACACCTTCATTTATTTATTTTCCTTATTTTTATATTTAAAGACACCCTCATGGGATGACCAATGAAGATGGTCTAAAATTTCCGATTGGAAAGCTTGGTCACTTCCACTCTTTTATCGAAATTATATACAATTACCTCTATTTGCGTCAACGGTTGTATTGGAATTGTTTATTTAGTTTATAACACTTTTTATAATATAATATATTTGATTTGTCGAAAATATAAAAAAAACTATAAAGAAAACATCTTAAATTTTGTTTGCTAGATTTTACATTGGAATCTAATGAGCTCATTGATTGTTCTAGTGTTGGTTTGAGATTGCGAATGGATTCAATTTGAAATACGAAAATATACATATACAGAAACAGAAAATTTAACAGATCACAACTTTTCAAGTCAAAAGTTTTATAATGATCTCAGTCTTTTGTCTTTTCTTTTTTGTTTTAAAAACAGTATGCACTGAAGTGTAAACAAATTTATTTTTTTCTTGAATATAATTTAACATTAGATTCAAAAAAAAAAAAAAAGTTGAATAAACTAGCTAATAAACTATAGATCCTAAGACAATTCAATGTCTAATTGCGTGTGAAAAATCATGTAGACCAATTCGTGGCGGCTTTTAGGAGAAACACGTTTAGTGAAACTAAATAATTTTAGCATCAGGAAGTAGACTTTTAGGTGTAGTTGAGTATTTAACATTACTAATCGGTCTCCAATGGATCAATTAAAGATTAGACGTAAAAGTATATACCACAGAATATACAATACCTTTAGTAGACCTAAAATTTTACATATAAAATGTTCCAATTTATGATTTTTATTTATTTTAACAGCAATTTTGTTTTCTTTTATCAACAGTCCAGTTTATATTTTCTTAAAACCGGTTCAAAATAATTTTATGCCTAAAGCAAGAAAGCTTTATAAAGCTAATTAGCTGTGACTGATAAGCCAAATAGTAGAAAATAACTTTACCAAATTTATCTGGACCCACTAAAGGAATTTGTTTTTTGTTATCAAAGACTAAATTTCCACTTATTTAAATGTTAGAGTAAAATTTACTTTTATTTATTTTTCCTAATTATAATGCACATATCAGATCTTTTTAGTCAATTTATAAACACAACTGCGACTAAAAAATCACAAATGTTGTTAGGATTGAATTCAAACTGGCATCTTAAATGCAAGGGCAAAGGACTCTACCACTACACTACAAGTTTACAACAACTTTTAGTAAAGACAGAGTTGAGTTTGCATTTCCCCAACCTCTACGAAAGATAGTCACATTTCGGTAGTTGAAGATCTGTAGAGATGGCAAATCAATTATGTTATTAGGTTAAATGAGATTATACATTATATATATAAGTTTGATATATAATGTTTGCAATACATATATCTTGTTATATAAAGCTTGGTTTTCAAAGTTAGTAACCCGTATGATCATGACACATGTCAAATCTATCGTTCAAATTTTGACACGTGTCAGAAAGAATTTAACTTTTTTTTTCTTAAGGAAATAGAAAACTAATTATTAAAAAAATATACATATACTAATTTTCATGTCTATATCTTAGACAAATTTGATTTTAATTTTTCTTAACCAAATAAAAAAAGCTAACGAAAAAAAGAAATCTACATAAATTAACTTCACGTATGTTATTTGTCAATTAGATTTTGTTATTTATCAATTAAAATTTTACATATACTAATTTCCAATAAAAAGAACGTTAAAGTTCAAAATAACATCAGAAGATACTTAATATTAATTTATTTGGATAATAATTATATTTATAGTTGTAATATATTGTTTTTATTTGTAAAATGAAAATACAAAAATTTGAAAAAGTAATGAGCTTATAAGAATAAATATTTGAGTATAATTATACTCGTGTTTTATTCTAAGAATTTTAACAGATGTAGTCTTATAGAATGAGATTTCAAATATTTATTCTTATAAGCACATTACTTTTACTGATTTTAGGAAATTGATCATAAATATAATGAGATTTCAAAGAAATAAGTATCATAAATTTGATTTGTATGTTTGTGTACTATATGTCTAATCCTTGCAAGCGACCAGCAGTTCAACTAAGATAACAAATGATTTATATTCCAGAAAATTAGTTATCTAAAAATATAGTTATATAAAACATAGTTGTTCATAGATATTATCATAAAAATCACTAATGATAATGTCTATGGAATATTACTCCATAACCAAATTATGATGATTTCGTGGCTCTTGTTTGAGGTGTGGAATCTTCATGTGAATTTAGGTCAGGGATAAATTTCTTTTATGTGCTTAGAAAAAAACAGCTAAGAAAATCTGAATTTCTATGGAATCCGAGAATTAGTTTCAGTTTAGTTCGGCGAATTCTCGGATTAAAATAAATAAATAACCTCGAGATAGATAAATTAATTTAGGTAGATTGTATACTATTCGAACCTGACCATCAAAAATTATTGATATCAAAGTCGGACCAAGATGTGATTGTTGTTAAGAAACAATAGATTGATACTAGCTTGTGTGCACCATGACTTTTAGTGCATTTTTTTTTTTTTTTTTTGGGCAAAAATTGGAACTTCTATTATTTGAAATATTAAGGGTAATTCTCCTGGCTCCCCATAAAATATATTAAAAAAATAGAAAACGGATGAAAGAGTGGAGAAAAAAACCTATGGATATCCAAACTAATATATAATTTATTAAATAATTAAATCATATAAAAATAATATTATTATATTACTTACATATCCAAATGGGTATGTACATGATGAAGATGCTTTTAAAGAGGAGGAGTTCTCAATAAGGTTCTCACTATTAAAATTTAAAAAAAAAAAAAAAAAAAAAAGAGAACTAGTGAGAGGAAACTCATTTGTGCCACAAAGTTTCAGAATACAACATAAATAAGTAGGGTAAAAAAAAACTTATAGAAAACCCTCGACTCGCTGACCAGATTCCATGCATATATCAGCAAATACCAAAGTTAATAGTAGGGAAACTCTATCGGAATGCAATTGGTTTCTCACACCTCTTTAAATTTAGGGGACTTTTTGCAGAAAAAAATCTTTGAATTTTGTGGTTATTAAGATCCATCGACAAGAAGTGTCCTACGCGCCCCTCTCTATTAAATCACTCATATTGACTCCAAATTTATGGTCAACGCCTACAACTAATATATAATCTTTTACCATTTATTTTCTACATATACAAATGATCTAATTTATTGTTTTGTTGTCTTTCTCTTTTGTTGAGAGATAATACAAGGAAATATTTTTACTAATATACTTCGTGTTTCTAAGTTTAATATTGTATATTTTTCAAATGTATATATTTATTTAATAAGAATATGATCAACTGTGAGGAGAATGAGAAAACCCTCACTGAATAAAGCATTAGTACTAATAAGTACCCTCACCCTCTCTTTTTTTTTTTGGACAAACCCTCACCCTCTCTATTTGCTTCCATTTCTAAAGGAAAACATTCAAAAAAAAAACTTCACTACCACACATCAACTTTTAAAATGACTTTGAATATGATAACTTATGGTCAATTCAACGGAATTTACTTATTTAACTTATGTTTTTTTGTCACGAATCACCACGAACACAGCAGAAACTATAAAAGGGGGTATTTACAAAATTTTCTTGCTTAAGAAAAAGAAAAGAAAATCACCAGTAGTTTATCCTAATTCTACACACCAATCTAGGAAAAAGACTTTTGCGTTAGTCAATATTTTTAAGATAATTGGCACCAATAAAGATATGTCGTTTTGCGTTGGAGCACAAATTGACTCAGAAGTGTCTCTATTGGTAAGAGCACCCCCAACCATTAAAAAACTCAAATGTGTCTCTTAACAAAAAATTAATAATATTTAAATACATTTTAGATATATAATTAAATTTTAATTTTCTTAAAACAATTGAACCATTAATACAAATACAAGTGGCACAAAAGTTTTTTATGAGTTTTTTTAAGTTTCTTAACTAAGAAACCCATTTCATTCTCTTTCATGCTTTTCTAATATTTTTAGTTTTTTTTTTATTACAAGAAACCCATGTAAGAGACCTCTATTGGGGTTGCTCTAAGAGACTCAAGTAAGGCTCTTGCAAATACTAGACCAATATTTTTAATATAATTTAATTTGTAGTATAATTAATTTCTAAATTATAAAAACAAATATAACCAATTATAAGAGGATAAAGGACAAATGTAAAGTGAGTTTCTGAAGAGTTTCTTAGCGTTTTTTAGTTAAGAGGCTATAAATGGAGGTGCTCTTACATCTAACTAGTGAAGTCTTATAACACCGCTCCCAATAAAAAACCTAGTTTCTCTCTAGCTCGACGCCGCCGCAACCAACCCTAAACCCAGATTTCGTTTTGCCTCTCCGGTTACCGGCTCCGGCCGGTGCCGTGAGAGGGCTTCTTCCTCTCTTTACTCTTTTTCGGTTCTTTCTTTTCTTTTGTGTCGATTTTTGTAGGGTGCCTTCACCTCCTTGTCTCCGGCGGCGTAAAGGAGGGTTTCAACGGCAGTGACGAGATGGTGCGGTGGAGGACGATACAGAAGGAGATCTCGGCTCTCTTTTCGTTTTGGGACTGGCGATGGTTCGAAGCTTCCTGGTATCGGATCTGGGGAGCCAAATCGAGCCCTTCCGCTTCCCTTGTTCCTCCCGCCAGAGATCCTAACCGTCCGAAGTACAATGGGTGAGGCGAGTCTTAGAGTCTACCGGAGGTTGGAGATGATTCTGAGGAAGCCGGTGGTCGAGATCTGAGGTTTCCCTCAAGCCGGATTTCCCGACAGTCTCTTCTAATCTCGGGTCAGTCCGGCGAAGAAGCAAGGCAACAAGGCAAAGGCGATAGGGCTAATCCGGAAATGCACTGGGAGGTGAAGGTATACTAATTCGTGCTCCACTCTAATCCTAAGACGATTAGTATTACGAGTATTGCTTAGATAATTCGGAGAGGTCTATGGCTTTGTTGGTATGTTTTGCGTCTCCTTGTCGGTTCAGTCGGATGTGTTGTCCGTTTTTGGTTTAAGACCGGAACAATGAAAGCCGGGGAACCAACTCTTTCTGATAATGCGCCTCAGGGTGGTGATACTATTGGGACAAGCTCTACATTCCGATCATAAGGGATTAATAGTTTGGGCTGTTTTGTAATTCAGATTAGATTTAGGTCTTCTCCGTGTAAGTAATTGTTCTCGTGTCATTAGAGTCTTTTTAGGTGGTTTAAGAGATGATTCAACACCGTGTTGTGGTGTGTTTCATCTCGCAGTGGTTGAAAAAATACATGACTTACGTCGGGTAGCGTTGGATCCGCTAGTGTTTCAGGGTGATACTAGACTGAGTCATTATATTTGGGTGAAATTTGTTGTGGTCGAACGATGTGTAATTTCGACTTGGTTAATGGAAAGTTGATGTTGAGCCAAAAAAAAAAAAAAACTAGTGAAGTCTTTGTATTCGGACTCAGACAAAAGTAGAGTTAATTACGAGCTATGGACTTTTTTCGATGGCCTTTGTACATCTAGCCATTTCTCACGTGGCATTTCAAATTTGCCATTTCTAGTGAATCAAAATGACGATTTTGCCCTATTCATATAACTCTGTGATTTACGATTAAAAAACAAAAACAATTATTTTCGACAAAAACCAGAATTGGAGAGAGAGAAAAGAGAGTTCGTCGTCTTCGGTTTTTCTCCGGCTTTCGGAGCCTCGGCATCGAAGAAGATCACTTTCCGCTGTTGGTCATTGGTGACGGGTTGTCGCTTGATCGGTGAAAAGCGATGTTGTTGACCTCGGATTGGTGATGAGTTCTTTTGTGATGTCTCCGGCTCTGCTAATTTACCCATATTTTATTTGTTGGCCCTACTGTTTCTTTTCCATTTGGGTTTATGCAGTTGGATCTAGGGTTTAGTTTTTAAAAATCTGGATTCATATTAAAAAAAAAAAGTCTGGGTTCATACGGAGAAAACGTTTCAGAAGAGTGTGATCAAACAAACAGTTTAGTGTAGGGCAAGAGCGTCATTTCACATTGCTGATAATGGCAAATCTAAAAACCCATCAACTAAATGGCAAAAATAAAAAATGGTAGCCCAAAAGGGACAAATCTTGTAATAATCCCGACAAAAGTATGGTCAAGTCGGCTAAATATAATGCCTCCAAATCCATGAAATGAAAAATCCACGTTGGTTAAATATCATACTGTTTGAAATTTCTCACATAGGTTCCAAATTACCGAAATAACCCCTTATCCCTATAAAACCCATAAGAAACATTAACAAAAGATCACACACACACACACACACAAACAAAAGTAGTAGAAGAACCAACAAAAAATGGCAAACATCTCATACTCTACGTTCATGTTCTCCATCATTTTCCTCATCTCGACCGCGACGGCTGCCACATTTGACATCCTAAACCGATGTAGTTACACCGTGTGGGCTGCCGCAAGCCCCGGAGGTGGCCGGCGTCTTGATGCGGGCCAGTCATGGAGGCTAGATGTCGCTGCCGGCACTAAAATGGCACGTATTTGGGGTCGGACCAACTGTAACTTTGACTCCTCGGGCCGTAGCCGATGCGAAACCGGTGACTGCAGTGGTGGACTTCAATGTACTGGTTGGGGCCAGCCTCCAAACACGTTGGCTGAGTACGCTTTGAACCAATACAATAACTTAGACTTCTACGACATCTCACTTGTCGATGGATTTAACATTCCTATGGAGTTTAGGTAAGAAGATCACCATGTATAATCTTTTCATAAATATGAGAGTTTCACAAAAGCAATTTCTCTGTCGTTGATAACTTAGTGATAATTTTTTGTTGGTGTGTATTGTTTCCAGCCCAACAAGCTCGAATTGCCACCGCATAATATGCAATGCGGACATAAAAGGCCAGTGCCCGAACGAATTGAGAGCCCCGGGCGGTTGCAACAACCCGTGCACAGTTTATAAGACGAACCAGTACTGCTGTACGAATGGGCAAGGTTCATGTAGCAGCACTGGGTTCTCAAGATTCTTCAAACAGAGGTGTCCCGACGCCTACAGCTATCCACAAGACGACCCGACAAGCACTTTCACTTGTAGTTCCACTAACTACAGGGTCGTGTTTTGTCCTTAGGAGCTAAGCTCGGTGCTACGGGTCTGAGCAGCTCCCGATTGACCCATATAGTTATTTGGTTACAAAGGAGCAATAAATAATTAAGAGACGAGAAGAGACTCGTCTCTCTTGTATGTGTGTAAGTGGGTACGTAGATATGCGTACGCATGTAATCATAAGATCAATAACTTAATGGATAATAATGAAGCAGTGGAGCATACAACCATTCTCATTGATATCTAAGGAAGTATTGAAACAAATGCAATAAGCAAAGGTGTTTACTTTGAACTCTTAAATGAATCCCATAGAGAGCCCAAATCAACATTACCTCCTGAGAGTACAATTCCTATGTTTTTGCAATCACGCCAAGAAGGATTGTTACGGAAACTGTTTGATAATACTGCTGCTAGGCCAATAGCCCCACTTGGTTCCACAGAGACCTTCAGTATCTCATAGCACATTCTCATGGCTTCGATTATTTCGCAATCTTCCAAAGTTATCACATCATCTACTAGATCTCTCACAACCGGCCTAATAGAAAAAACAAGTAATGATAAAGATTTTGAACCCTTTTGCGTTCTATATCTGCACCATAGAGACATGATTCCTATACGAGTAAGAAGTAGATTACCAGGTTAAATCTCCAAGAGAAGCTCGAAGGCCATCCGCAATTGTATTGGTCACAGGTAAAGTGATGATTTTACCCGCAACCTTAGACTTAGCCGCATCATCGGCTCCCTTTGGTTCAGCGGCTATAATCCGAATGCTAGGCTTAATTGATTTGGCAGCAAGAGCCACACCAGATATCAAACCACCCCCGCTTATCGGCACAACTATAGTGTCAATCTCTTGGATCTGCTCGAGCAGTTCCAATGCAATTGTACCCTGACCGCTGTTACAAGATAACTCTAAGGTCAGTTTCACCCATAATGCATTTATGGCAGAAAAATAAGAGTTATCTCATCAAAGAACAAAGAAGGCCATATTAAAACAGAGATGCTTCCTCCCGCATAGTGTTATTCCTAATATGCACTTTTGCCTAAGAAAATTGAAATAACTTAAATTTTGGAGGATTTAGTTCCCTATTGTGTTAATGAGCCACTCAAGAGATTCAAAGTTCTATATTTCTAGCAAAATAAGGCTTTTGTGAGTAACATACATTTGAAATACCAACATCGAGAAAGCAAAATACCTTATAATGCGTCCATCATTATAAGGGTGGATCAGAACTGAACCTGTTTCCTGCAAAACCTTTGCAGCTACTGTCTCTCTAGAAGACATTGTTGATTCACTCCATATAACCTTACCACCATACCGGATCACATTATCAACTTTGCACTTTGGAGCACCTTTCGGTACAACAATATATGCCGGGATTCCCTGAAGCTTCGCAGCCAAAGACAACGCAGCAGCATGGTTACCACTGGTACAACAAAATCAACAGTAAATCGGTAAGAGACAATCAAGTGAACACAATAAGTCAACAACAGAATATCATCAACTACTCAATCACTGTTTAAGTCTATCAATACCAATAAGCACAAATGAAATTAGTCGAAAATATAGCATTGATCTTCCAACAGTAACTAAGGGATTAACAAGCGAAGACAATTGCGGAATATCATCAACTATCCAAACACTATTAAGTCTATCATTATCTATAACAACAAATGAAATCAGTAAACAATAAACCATTAATCTTTCATAGTATGGAAACAAAATCTTACAAAACCTGCTGTGTGTTACAACTCCTTTGGCTGCTTGTTCATGATCAAGCGACAAAACAGCGTTGCACGCTCCACGGAATTTGAATGCTCCCCTTTTTCCACAATAAACAGAAAACTAAAAATGAGAACAATGAGAGAATCTTCACTGAATCAAGCATTAGTACTAAGTCCCCTCACCCTTTCTGAAAGCACTCACACTTAAAGAACAAGCTTCTTCCGGAGATTAAATTCAACGATTCAGATGTTAACACCGGAGTTCTATGTATATACGGCTTAATACGCTCATGAGCTTCCTTTATGGAAGATATATCAGCAGCATACTTCTCTCTATTTGCTTCCATCACTAAACAAGAACATTCAAAGAAACTTCATTATCACTTATCAGAAAAAAACCATATCCTCATTCATCCAAAATAACTTCAAATTTGGTAACTTTATGCTCAATTTACAGATTTTGTCTACCTAAAAAAGTTATCTTGAAAGAGAAGTCAAGTTTAAATTTTGTCACAAATCACTAAGAACATAGTAGAAATTGCAAAAGACTGAAACTTTACTATGAAAAAAGCTTCGAGATTGAAGTTTTCAATTACAGTTTTGATTATAAACCTCAAGCATCAGAAACACAAGAATTGAGATTTTTAGGTTAAAAAATACAAAGGAGACTACTAAATCCCCAAAAATGTAAGTAATTGTGACAAAGAAAGGAAGAAAACAAAACCTAATTTCTCAAATTTGAGATTAGGGTTTAGGATTGGGAATTTCAATTTGCCCAATTTCAGGGAATTGCAGATTCGAGAAGACGTAGACGTTCACTCAAAGACAGCACGGTGTTATGGAGCTAAAAAAGAGAACGTCACGCTGTTTTATTGCACAAAAAACGTCGTGCATTGCTTGTCTAAATAAATAAAACTATCACATGCCTTTAGCCCATGTGTTTTTTACTTTTTTTACGTTGACTTCTCTCTAGAAGACTAGAAAACAGGTGAGAAAGAGAACATGTGCAGAGATGAGATGAGATCAGCGGATAATCCAAATTAAGCTAGAAATATAATTGAATACAAATTGTATAATGATTACTGATTAAATCTTAAATCTTCATATGATAGTTGACTATTTCTTCACTAAAAACCATTTTATATTTTAACTAAACAGCTAACTAATCTCCAAAAAACTTCTTACGATGTTAATTTTCTTATTTTTACGATGTTAATTCTTACCTTTGCAATTTGTTTGTCCAAAATTTATGGATTCATGACTAGGGTTGATAACTAAATTATTAATTTTGACTGAGACCTCGACATAACTCGGGCCAAATTTTATCTTTTTATTTGTAAAAATGACGAATGAAAAATTTAAATTAGTTTATTCTAGTATGTTAAGTAGCATAGATTTTGTACCTTTGATCCACTTCTAAAAATACGTGTACGTATAAATACATGCACACATGTATTTCGTATAAATGTATATAGCATTTAATAGTCATATCACTTACTGCGGAGACCTAGTTTTTCTATTGGTGGAAATTTAGATCTTTAGAAATAAATAAGAGCTATGTGCTCAATTTATAAGTCAAACAAACTCATGTGACATAAGCGTTTTTCTAGGATCTTTACCTTAGATAATGGATCAATTTAATTATTTAAATATGTATAACCAATATGCATGCATGAAATCTTGATCTCTTTTATACGCGTCTGCATTTATGTGTGAAGATGATAATATGTGGTTTTTCATTACTTTTCCTGAATCCATCTCATCCAATCAACACAAAGAAGGTAAAGAGTTGACCTTATTTCTTATATTCACATTTATAACTCTGTACAATAGATTTGGTTTTTGTAGTATTTTTTTTTACTTTTAAAGAAAAAAATAATTATGGGTTGAGGTCCTAGTTGAGGTACACCATATCCTAGTTATAACTCATGTCAATATGTTAAGGCACACCATATCATATTTATTTATAACATAAATATGCATTATTGTACATGTATACATTAAGGTCGGTTCTGATTTTTCTTTTAATTTTTCAAGATGAGAAACATTTAAGAAAATCCCAAGAAACTCTGTCTACCCTTACTTGAAATCTAAGTTGGTCTTTCCAAAATTATTTAAGTTTCTCCACAACCTATACATATACCAATGAATGCATATGCATGTGCAAATAAATATTATAATATGTATAGTAGTATATAATTTCAAGACCCTTTTATCAAAATTGAAGTTGTGAGCTTGATTCTGCTCTAAGTCTCTCTTCACTTTTAAGTGTTCGATTTGATCGAACAAGACAAGATCGACGATCATGATGATGAGCAATCTAAAACTCGGCGTGGACGTGATCGGAGCACACAATCTCTTCCCAAAAGATGGGCAAGGAACATCGAATGCTTACGTTGAGCTTTACTTCGATGGTCAGAAGCACCGAACAACGATCAAAGATCGAGACTTAAACCCGGTTTGGAATGAGAGTTTCTTCTTCAACATCTCAGATCCATCTCGTCTTCACTATCTCAATCTTGAAGCTCAAGCTTATAGTCACAACAGATCTACTAATGGACGTTCCTTCCTTGGCAAGGTATCTCTTTCAGGGACATCTTTTGTTCCTCATTCTGATGCTGTTGTTCTTCACTTTCCCATGGAGAGACGTGGGATCTTCTCTCGAGTGAGAGGTGAACTCGGCTTGAAAGTTTACATAACCGATGAGGCTTCTTTAAAATCCTCTGCTGCTTCTAATGATCATCTAGATAATCTAGATCCGGCGATCCCAAGAGGTATTAACCGATCAGCTTTGATACCATTTGTTTTGTGTTTTTTTCATATATATACCATTTTTATTTAGGGTGGACATATGATATTTTTGGTTCGATTCGGATAGGATATTTTGGTTTTTTAGGAGTTGAGAGTCTAATTGAAACCAAAATATTTCGGTCCAGTTTTGCCAAACCTCAATTGTTTTTTTTGAATGATTTTCGGTTTATTCAATTCGAGTTTTGTTCGATTTCGATCCGGTTTATTTTGCATAGAGAATAATGAAAACAATGCCGTTATAATAAACAAAAATAAATATTAGCTCAATTTAAATTTTAAAAAAATTGTTTGGTTTAGTTTGATTTTATATGCTCATTTCTATTTGTGATGATTGTTTAGAGCAACAAAAGCGTGATTTACTTGGATTTGATTTTGTTTTTGTGACAATTTCAGCAATGAAGGTAGAACATAGATCCGACAAACGACATGTATTTTACAATCTCCCAAACAGTGCTCAAGAACATCAACAACAACATCCACAAGGGCATAACCAATCCTCTTCCTTAGCCGCTGAACAAGATCATCATAACGAACATCATCACCATTACGTGCCAAAGCACCAAGTAAACGAGATGAGACC